ATTGGTGGAGCTCTGAGTCAACTCTTGTATGGTGTGGCATTGCTTTGATGCTGGAGGTTCTCCTTTGGAAGTGGAGAGTGGCGAAATGGACCAGACTCTTGGCTGGCCTTGAAGCCTTCCTTCACTTTCCACTTGACTTCAGTGCCTGGCGGCTGCTGTTTGGCTAAGGAAGCTGATGAGCTGATCAGTGACCCGCATGGCAGATGGTTCCGCTTCAACTTGGACCTCACCTCGCTCATCCTTATGGAGAGGAAACATTTATCCAGCCACCTTACTGGACTCAGCTTTGTGGAAGTCCCCACACCCTTGAATGTGGTTGTGCGGGGTCTCGAAGATGCTGGGGAGGCTTGCCCTGTGTGGAAATAGTGTTTCTGAATGGACCTAATTACCTCATCCAAAAAAGGATCTACAGATCTTCACAGTGACTTTTTTGACACATCACATTTGAATAAATGGCAACAGTATTCCGGCAAGAACCACAACATGCAACAATGAAACCATGTTATACACCAACCTTCTGGAATCTATAGTGCCATTGAGCTGAGGACCTGAACTGAATTTTGACCAACCAAACCCTTCAGGTCAAGCTTGGGGTGTCCCACCACACCCTGAATGATGTGCATGACCAGTTGGTGATGGACAAGACCTTGGCTTTTGCCTTGGATGCCCCCAAAGATGGAGAGGACGAAGGGAAAAAGAAGAAAAAGAAAAAGAAGGATAAGGGGAATGCAACACATGTGAGTTTTGGCAGTGCTCTGAACATCAGTTCCTTCAAGAACAATGACAAGTTTTCTTTGGCATGGCGATGCAGGCCAGGTAGCCGTTTCAAGCAAGTTACCTTATGTTGGGTGTGGCCCTCAAAAAACCGGTTTGGAACATTCTTGGTGGGGATAGCCTGGAGGTGTTCTCTTTTATTGTTTAATTCTTTTACACACCTAATGCCATGGAGTAATGAGTAATAAGCCTGTGCTTGCACCCTTCTGGCAGGCTGGACACCTGTGCCTCAACTGGGGCAAAGCTCCTGGTCCCTGTTCGCCCGGTAGCATGTTTGAGCGGTTCACTTGATTTGGAAGCTGGGGTAGCCCAGCTCATGTAGGTTCTCAACAAAGCACTGCTTTGCCAAGGGAGTCTTTCTTGGGGTTTCAAAGCTTCAACATTTTGAAGAAATAGGTGCCTCATAGACATATATAATCATAATAGAATAACCTTTATGATATTTATGTTGAACAAATCTCCTTTGTACACTTTGTAGGCCATTTCATAACACGAAGCCATCGAAAGCACGGCTTGCAGTGTGATTTTGAAGTGATCACCTGGATCGCATGGTAAACCATGGACTCTTGAGAGCAAGAATCACCAAAGAGGCGACAAACAAACAAGTTTCATGGGAGATGCAGTCATCCAAGATGTCTTGCAAGATGTCTTCTTTGGAGTTGCTTGGCATGTCCTTCCCTCACCTTGCCAAACAAGGTGGCTCAAAGTAGTTGTTTTTACAATAGCTGTGCACCTTGGTTCCACAATGCCTCCAAAAAGGGGAACTGTTTCAGGGCCTGGTCATGATGAGCATGATTCTGTGGAGATTGTATCGGAAAACTATTGGCGCCCACCAGCCTCCTAGTTGAATTTGTGCAAAAAAGTCAGACACGTTCTCTTTAAAAGGGACCTTCTTATAGTTTTGCACTGAGGCCTTTAATCTGGGTACAATGCTGGGAACTACTACGCCAAACCGTGGCATGGCATCAGTGGCATCGCCGCCTGGGACATATGCAGCAGCTCGCACTCCGAATCCACCTGCAGGTGTTGTGCAATCAACTGCAGCTACTTCAGCAAGAGGCCAGGACAATCTTGCACTCTAGAACCAGCTTCTACTCTTCTACAATCAGGGTGAACGAAAAAGTATGTTTTAAGGGTTGATCAGCATCTGGGTTGATCGACAGGTGCAGCTCAAGCTCCACCAGGTTCCCATGAGCTCCCACCGCGGTTTGGGTCTTCAGCGGAGGATTCTTCGTCAGAAAATCCAAAGAGAGATCTTGTGCCAAAGAAAAAGCCCAAAGCCAAAAAACTTGGAAAGGGAAAGAAAACTGAAGAAGAGGCCCCCGATGCAGAATTGGATCCCTTGGGCCTTGGTTCTGGCAACGAAGATGATGATGATGAACCGGACCTGGCAGGGTTGGAGAGATTGCTGGATCTCCAACCCAAAAAGCGGCCATCAGCCAGGGGGTCTGGTGGGAGCCAAAAGAAACCTGCCTCTTCAAAATCTAAAGCGCAAACTGGAAACAAAGAGGACCACTGTGTTGCATGTCTTAGACAAAGGTAAGGAAAACGGATGCATATGTTTTGCAGCGAATTGTTTTACATGTTTTGCTTCAGTCACTCTAACGATTTGCTGTTTGACAGGAAATGCACTCTTTTGCTGATTCACTGGAGATGGAGATTGCGGATACATACTTGGATACGCGCTTTGTTTGCATGCCATACATGATTGGAAAACAGCTATTTGAACTCAGTGGTCTACAGTGCATTTGTTCTCTCTCAGGGTGGATGAATTGGATAAAGGTTCAGATGCACAACTGCTCCCTGTCATGTCACTTGGCAATATTGGTGCTCTTCAGTTTCAATCTGTTGTTGATCTTTTGACATCTTTTGACCTGTAGTTACCCTGTAATCATCCCAGGCCATGGGATGATCCTTCAAACTGGTATGCTCTCAATACGATTCCAGAAGATGAGGAGTGGTGTGACAACCAACTTGGTCTTGAACACGCCTTGAAAGCGCCTAACTTTGCAACTTTGAGACGCTTGCAAGTTTGCAAGCTTATACTTTGGAAAATTGATTTCACTGTGGAATTCCATGAGCAGGTAGTTCATGGTAGTTCCTCTGTGCTTACCTTAGGCCACCCCAACTCCTATGAAGAAGCGGCTTCGTCGATCTCTTGCCCATGAAGACTTCCCTGGCCTTGACAAAGCGGATGAGGCCAAACCAATGCCATGCAAAGTCCTTGGCGTCAGATTGCACAAGTTCAGTGCAAGCCAACAGTTATGCAAACAGAATGTGTGCATTAGATTGCATGTGTGTGTGCATTGTCACAAGGTGTTTCCATGCAACTGCATGCTGTGTTTCATACCCGCTCCACCACACGGCACGCTACAAAAAGTTTAAACATATGATCAAACATTATACGCGATATGCTTTCTTGTAGCAAAATAACACTGCCAAAGGTCTTGTCTGAGATTCTGCCCACACCCGGCAGGAACCCACAGATGGTGAAATCTCCACAGCATTGCAGTCTCTACCGAGCCATGAAGAAACAGGCTTTCACCGCATGCTGGGCTTCTTTGAAGAGTTGAACCTGAATACCCATGAAGGCCCTGATCTGGTTCGATCAACGCCGCCACCACCACCACCTGTTGGTGATGCAACTGCCCCCGCCGACGTGCGCAAGACAGACATGGTGGAGGCTGGTGCAGGCAATGAAGGTAATGCTGCAGCCATGGTGGTGTCTGAGCAAGGCACCTATGTCGAGGATCCTGTGGTCATTGGACCTGTGGAGGATGCAACTTCAAATGGTGGGGAACCTGTGGTTGTGCCTGCAGATGGCACGGAACCTGTGGTTGAGGGTGCCACTGGTGGTGGGGGTGCCACTCTTGGTGTGCTTGTGCATCCCATCGATGAGAAAAAGGAACCCCCAGCAGCCTCAGCGGCATTGAATGCCAAACCAAAGAGCAAACCCAAGAGCCAACCTGCAGCACGATCCAACAATGCCAGCAAAGCCCAGGCAAAGGACAAAGCCCAGGCAAAGGGCAAAGCCCAGGCAAAGGGCAAAGCCCAGG